GAGTCCTCCAGTGGGAGCCGCTGGAAGGGTTTGGGCACGTACTTATAGGTGCTCAGCAAGGACACTCTATAGTAATTAGAACTCGGAACACTGGAAGTCGCTTCAAGACCAACGACGGGGCATCGGCGAAGCCAATGAAGCTGATTGCTGACCCAGGACACCTGTCTTCCCGCTCCCTTCCCCATTCAAAGGCCCAAAGCCTGGGCCACTCCTGACTCATTCTCTTACCTTCCCCTTTCCAAATGTATCCAGAAGCAGCCACGCCAGCAGCATCCCTCCCCAGGGTGCGCCCGCCTCCCTACTGGCTCTGGGCGCCCCTGGGCGCCCTCCCCGAGCCTTCCCCACCGGGTGTCCACCGTGACTTCTCTAAAATGTTAGTTGGTCATGGTCACGACGCTCCTCTCCCCACACCTTCCCTGGGTCTCCATGTTATTCAGAGTCGAAGTGAGCTACAGGGCCGCCCCCCTCATCCGTCCCTCCCGCTCACCCAGGCAGCCACACCTCAAGCCCCGAGGGCTCCCTCCTGCTGGGTCTCTGCAGGGTTGTGCTCCAACAGCCCCTCCCTAGAGGTCACTGAGTCCCTCCCTGCCCTCCGCTGGGTCTCCGCTCAGATGTCCGCTTCTCACTGGGCTACCCTTCTGTCCGGGTTTATTTTATCCCACAGCACATACTGGCTTCTGACATCTGGTACATATTCTCATTTCTCGCCCGTCTCCCTCGCTAGAACGCAGGCCCCTGGCTGACCTCAGGACCCGCTCAGTGCTGGGTACACAGCGGGCGCACAGGAAATGCTGGCTGATGGACAGAGTGACTGGGATGGTACACATCCACCCCACTTTGTCTCTAAAGCAAAGTGATTTGCGTTAGAGACAAATCACTGACGTGGAAATGCCCGCGATATCACAGGAAGTGAAAAGGCAGCTCCAGAGGGACATGCAGGGGTCCCAGAGGAGGAGCTGGGCAGCTGGGGTGGGAAAGCCGAGCCCTCTCTCCTCTCTGGGGGTGGTTAGGGAATGGAGGGGAGGGGAGGTGCTGAGAGACAGGAAGGTGCAGCTGGAGAAACAACAGGGGGTTACAGTGGCTGCCTTTGGGAAGCAGGACTGTGGTGAACAGTTGATCAAGTGATCTCTGCTCTTAAATCTTTTGCAACAATTCAATTTTATTTCTATATGGGCATATATTATTTTGATACAGATAATAAACGTTTGTTTAAAAAAGAGTCTTGGGACTTCCCTGGTGGTGCAGTGGTTAAGAATCCGCCTGCCAGTGCAGGGGATATGGGGTCGATTCCTGGTCGGGGAAGATCCCACAGGCCACGCAGCAATTAAACCCGTGCGCCACAACTACTGAGCCTGCGTGCCGCCAGTAGAGCCTGCAAGTACCTCACAACTACTGATCCCGCGCGCCTAGAGCCCGTGCTCCGCAACGAAGAGTAGCCCCCATTCACCACAACTAGAGAAAGCCCGCGCACAGCAACGAAGACCCAACGCAGCCAAAACATAAATAAATTAATTAAAATTAATAAAAAATAATAAAATAAAATTTTAAAGTTCAAAGAAAAATAAATTAAAAAATATTAAAGAGTCTTTTAAGAGTTGCGAGAATCCCCAACCACCCCCTAATTCAGCAGCATATACTCTCTGTCCTTGACCTCACCCCCAAAGGATACTTGTATAAAAAAGAGGATTAGCGATAAATATACCAACATGTTAACACTGTTTGTCCCTAGGGCTGACTTTAATTCTCTCCTTCAAAATGACTGGTATATTCCTAATCATGTAAAATGGACACAGATTACTTCTACAAATATTAGCTTAAACCATATGAAACTGTCAATATTCAATCATTTAGGACTCTAAAAATGGTGATTTCATATGATTCAACCTAATAGAAAAAGATATTTTTTAAAAATGGGGCTGCTTTCCAGATCAATAAAAGTATTCCTATCCTTTGAGCCCAGTTATTTTATTTCTTGGATTCTTTCTTTAGGAAGAAGGTCCAAAATGTGTACATAGACTTGCATACAAAGTGTTCATGGCCCAGCAAATTACAGTGGCGAAAGCTGGAAAAAACCCAAAATGCTTAAAAATAAGGAGTTGATGGAATGTTATGCAGACATTTTAACTCATGTTTGGAAGAACTTTAAGTGACTTGGTGGAATTTAATGTTAAAGGAAAAACAGCAAGATACATGATTATATCTAAAATGTTATCTCCACTGTGTAAAAACACGCATTACATCTGTACACTCACGTTCATGGCGGCATTATTCACAGTACTGTAGCTAAAACGTGGAAGCAACCCAAGTGTTCACTGGATAGGATAGATATAGATGTATCCGTAGATCAATGGATACACAAAACAGGGTCTATCCATACAGTGGAGTATTATGAGACTTAAAAAGGAAGGAAGTTCTGACCGTGCTACAAGAGGATAAACCCTGAAGACATTACGCTCAGTAAAATAAGCCAGACGCAAAAGGACAAGTACCGCAGGTTTCACTCGTCTGAGGCACCTGGAGTCGTCAAATTCCTAGAGAAAGTAGAACGGGGGTGCCAGGGGCTGCGGGAGGGGGTTGGGGAGTTAGTGTTTAATGGGGACAGGGTCTCGGTTTTGCAAGACGAAGAGAGTTCTGCAGGTGGAGGGTGGTGGTGATTACACAGCAACGTGAATGGACTTCATGCCACTGAGCTCTGCATTAACTTCAAAAGGGTTAACATGGCAAACTTTATGGTTTGGGGGTAAATGCATTAAAAATAGACGAAGAAGCTCTCCGAGGCAGCGTGGCCCTTGGGAAGAAGACAGCTCTGAAGCTGAACTGCCTGGCGTCCACTCCAGCTGCGGAGGCGGGTACCTGACTTTGGGACCCACGTGTTCCACCTGTATCCCCTCCCTCATCCGGGCAGCAAACCAGGTGAGCAAATGCCAGGGGGAGGGCCCAGAGCTCAGCAGGTCTCACTAAACCGTGTGGAGGTTGTTCCTGTCATCACACCATCGTCACAGGGTTAAACGACTATCTTCTTTTTTTTACACTTTCCTGTATTTTCCAAATTTTTCACAATATGTATTTCTTTTAAAATCAGAAAAAAAGTATAATTCACATAAAAATAGTGACAGTCACCACAGACAAAGAGAAAAGACAAGTCACAGACCAGGAGAAGACATTTGCAACGCCCATACCAACAAAGGAGTGGAATCCTTTCAGGCAGTTCTCAGACGAGGGAGCCTGGATGGCTGATAACATTTGAAAGCCTTGGCAGAAATGAAACTCCCGATAACACCAAGGGCTCCGGGATGCGGCGCGTCAGCAGCCCTCCCACATGGTTGGCGGGAGCGTGCGCTGAGTGACAGGTGCAGCCACCGTGGCGGTGTCTGTGGAGCTCAACTTGCGCCCCCGCCCCCTCCCGCAGCCGTTCCACGCAGAGTGACCCCGAGTGTGCAAAGGACACAGTCACAGAAGGCTAACCGTGCCCTGCTCGTAACGGAGAAAACCGCAAACCGCCTGTATGCCATTAGCAGGAGGACGACGACTGAACGGAGTTTGTTCATTCAATAGAATATATTCATTTATCATTTAATTGGCTAATTTTATGGCAGCTTGAGCGAGTGAACTAAAGCCAATGTAACAACATGGACCAATCTTAAATTCATGATATTAAGCAAGAAAAACACAAGTGCCGAAGACAGAATTTGATACAATATCATATATATAAAGTTTTGAAACAGGCAACAAAATAGTACATTTTGTTAGGAAACGGCATCTAAATGGCACTCACACACCCCAGAGGGGATGGCACAGCCTTCAGAGACCTGGAGTCGGGAGCCAGGCTTCTGGGGCCACAAACCAGCTCTACTGCCCACCTTCGGGGTGACTGTGGGCAGTGACTTGATGTGTGTGCCCCAGTCCTCGTCTATAAGATGGGATATTACTAGCATGTGCCTCGTAGTGATAGCAAAAGAATTAGACCAGTTATATCTATATAGGACTAAGAAGGGTGCCTTGCCCTCAGGAAGCATTATACTGAGTTTGCTGCTGTTATTATTACTACAGTGAGTCTCAGACCTTAGAAACGCTCGTGCCATTTGCTCTAGCAATCTCATTTCCAAGAATGTATCCCAGATCAAGGATTTATGAACTCGGGTGTTCACTATATACAAAAGTGTGCAGTTGGAAATGACCCCAGTGTCCAGCTACAGGAGGACAGTTAAATACACTTCAGCACAAGCCTGTTGTGACTTAGCTGTTGCGCTATTTTTGGATTTTTCGTATTTGTTTTCATCTCCCTTTCCATGGCGGCAGGTACACCTGTGTGTCCATTCTCACTCAGCACAGAATGGTGACCAAAGAAATCCAAGTTGGCTGAAACCAGATTGTAATTGCCGCTAATGACGTAGGTCCGTTTACATTTAGAAATGGAGAAATAGCCTAAGAAGGAACAGTTCGTGCTGCCAGAGAAGTGGTCCCGGGAAGGAACGAGAGCCCTGTGGTCAGCCACCCACCCTCCTCCAGGAAGCCCTCTTAGACTTCCCCCAGGACTCTACTAACTCCACGATTACCCCTACCTCGGGCTTGGCTGACACATGGCCCAGGGCCTGACACATAGTGGGTCCTCAACAAATGTCTCCCAAGGGGGTCCCAATTCCCCCATTGCTGGTTCAGGGCCTGACGTGTAGTGGCCTCACTTCTCTCGACACTAGGTCATCTACAGGGATCTAAGATTCTTAGAACTCATTAAAACAACCAGACAAAAGCAGGCTCTCCTAAGCTTCTTTGAAAATAAACAAAATAATAGAATAGAATAACTTTCTAATGAATTAAAGGATACATATTTACCTTCTAACACTACGTAGAATTTATATCAATTTTTCATTTAGAATGAGCTAATTAACTGAGGTGATAGCCAATTTATCTGTTGTGGTTTTAATCAATTATCTATTTTGCAAACACTAATTTTAGCCCATTTTCAAAAAGAAATGCTTATGTGCTGCATACATTCTTACCTCCTCAAGGTAACTGTTGAAGTTCTGGAGAAAATATTTCCAATTTATATAGGGGGTGAGATGAATTCTTAGTTTTCTCAAAAAATAATGATACTGGGTATCTGTTAGTTTGTAACAGAAATCCTTAAGAACTTGTCCAAAATCCGAAGCCTTTACAAGCCCAGTGTCCTCTTTATCCAGTACAGAAAATGCCTACAATTAAAAATAAAGGCAGATGTTACAGTCAAGTGAGTATTTCAAAAATATTTTTCTTAAGTATTGCTTTTCTGAATGCAAATGAAATCAAGTGAACGTGAGTCCCCTGCAGATTCTAAATTACTAAATAAACGCACGAGGACTGAAGACAGACAGGTAGGATGTGCACCCCGTCTAAGAGTTGACGTGTCGTTGAGGAAACTCGCCTTAGTCCCTCCTCTTTGGATACGAAGACGAAGAGGTGTGAAAGAGAAGCCCCGGTCCTCGCAAGTCCCGAGGAGGCTCTGAGGCACGAAGGCACTTGCCCGAGGTCTCTGCATCATTAAATTTTAGCTCCCCAATGAATCACCTGTGAGTGAGAAGCTCAGGCGCTACCCCACTGCGTCCAGGTGTGGGGCAGGGGTCTCACGATAGGAGTCTGATGTGGGAAGCGGCCAGAAGGAGGAGTGAGGGACTGCCCCATCCCACCCACACCCCAGGGCGTGAACACCGAGGCTCTGTCCTTTACGGTGGGGGAGACCCCCCTGCCCGCGCCTGTGCAGAGAGGCTGGGGCAGCCGGCACCAGCCCAGCAGTAAAGCAGTCAAACCGAAGTGCAAACATTTGCTATAAAAAGAAAGCACATTTTTTTCCCATCTGTTGAAACAAAATCATTCATTTCTATTGCACTAGAAAATCCGTATCGAGGGGTAAGTTAAGATCTTAGTTTTTTAAGAAAGAATTTAACCTGCTTGCAGACCCAAGCCCAAATTCCCTTGCAGTTAATTCTCACTCAGGACTAACTGGGCACACCCCATCCGTCCACAAGGTGTTATACAGGTAACCAAGTTAACCTTAATACTGTCTGGCTTCAAGCTTTCATTTAGCCTGTGTAGATACGACACAGCCAGGTACAGTGGAAAACCTCTGGCTGCACAGCCAGGTGGTAGACGCTGAACCCTGGCTGTGTCGCCCACCATAAACCCTTAACCTCTCTGAGCTTAACTTCATCGGTATAAGAAGAGGGACAACAGAACTCGTGTTGGTCCAAGTTTTACTATGGCAACCTGAAGATGCACCTGTCCAGGTACCCGGTGCACAGTGGATCTCGGCATATGTTCAGGAGAATGGCGGTCAACATGAAGGGAGCTGACCGAGCATTCTGTTCTGAGGGCGTTAGAAGGTGCTGCGGTGCCGCAAGGCTCAGTGGACCTAAGGGCTGAGCTGGGGTCTGGCTCACTGTGGCCACGGGACCTGCACTTCCCTGGGGCTGTGTGGCTTCCCCGTGTGTCAATCCAGCCTGACAAGCCACGGGGTGGGTGGAAGAATCAAATATGCCAAGGCTTAGGGATCTATAAAACTCTACATAAATATAAGGTATTGCTGTGTCATTTCAGAAACAAGACGCTGCATTGAGACGTGTCTCCAGTGACACAAGGAGCTGCATCATGTGTCCGGTACCCTTTCTGACAGCCATCCTCAGACATCGTCATTCCCTCCTTGCCCCGCTGCCCCAAACGCCCTCCCCCTCCAGGCCACCTGCCAGTCTCTTGGCCAGAGAATCTCACTCTCTTGCTTAAAACCTCATCTCCTAAGGAGTATTTCTCAGAAATGAGAACCGTGGTTCCTCCCACAGGTTCCATGGACCTCAGTTTGAGAAACATCCCGATAGATGTGACGTGGTGCCACCCTAAACTGGAACGGGGCAGAGCCATCCTGCAAATGGATTTATTTGGCCTGCACGGTGCTTTTGACAAATCTGAAGTACGTGCTGACATTTAGAAGTCAGGAGGCTTCATAGCTTCTCAGGAAAAATACAAAGATCTAGCAGAGCTGGGACCATTTTTCAGCTCAGCAGCAGTCGGCAGGGGCTGGGGAGGAGCTGCGCTCTGGACAGGGCTGTGCCTCTGGCCTGCTGTGGCCGCGGCCTGGCCCCGTCATCACTTTTGTACTTCTGGTCCCTGTGCCCATCTGAGTTTGCGGTCCTCACGCGGTGACCACTGGGCCAGGACAACCTGGTGTCGAAAGGGGTACAGATGGTCTTTCTAGATGGCCCGCAATGGGTTCATACTGATTTTTCTTTGATCTTTAGATAGTCATTAAAATAAAGACACAGATATGCTAAATCCTCACAGAGAATTCCTGCATGCAAACAATGTCTGCTGTCGGGAGGAAGGCCACGCTCGCCGGCATTCCAGAATGTTCATGAGCTGGCTGGGCTGCCCTGCCTTTCTCCTTGTCTCCCACTGAACCTTGGACTGCAGGGCCCAGCTTGCCTCCCGGTGCTGAGAGGACGCAGGCCTTCAGCGAGGTGGGCCTCGGTGTCGGCGTGGGGCCGAGGGTCTGCATGTGGCAGACACAGAGGCAACCCTGCTGGGACTGTGCTGTCTGGACAGCACGCGCCCAGCATCACCCGGGAGGCCCTGCGTTCACCATCTCATTAGGCTGCAAGGCCTGCCCTCTGCACACAGCATCTCTCTTCCCATGGCTGCTGCAGGGGAAACTCATGTGGGGACCCGCAAAGGGGACCAGCACCCGGTGGGGAGCGCGGCCCGAGCACTGTCTTCCGAGGATGGGCCCCGCAGTGCCATGCCCACGTACACCGGGTCTCGGCACGCCCCCCCCCGGGGTCACACAGACGTCAGCCTAAATGTCAGTGTACTCGGGGGACCCCGTTCTTACACCCCCTGCCCTGGGCTCCCAGTCATGGTGAGGCTTTGTGCCACCGCCTGGCCCCGGCCAACATCTTCAAGGCCACCTGGAGTCACTCATTCCCCACTGGCGTCACTCATTCCCCACTGGCCCGGGCTCCCCTGAGGCCTCTGTCCTCTGCCCTCTGCCCAGAACCCCTTGCCCTCACTGCAGACCCACCCTTTGCTAAACACCGAGCACTTTCGTCTCACAGAACACATGCTGGGCAGGCTCACGGTAGCTTTGTACAGAGCAAAAGCGGATACACATTTGCTCCAGTGAACAATCCGTTCTCGACCAACCATCGAGTTCTGATGCCCCAAGGAGAGTGGCGAGAGGTGGAGGGGCCCAGGATGAGGGGCAGGGCTGAGAGCTGGTTTTAGGAATTGGCGTGAACCCCAGAACTTCGGTTTCCACAGTAAAAAGCACGTGCTTTCTCTCATACCGTTGACAAAGCCGGACTGGAGAAGGCAACGACCTCCTGGGTGTTCTTCAGAACCTCCTCTGGACTTAGGGTCGCAAAATTGATCGGCACGCTCTCCTCTTTCTCTTGTGGCTGAGGTTTTGTCGGCTTGCTATTCTCCACTGCTCTCAAGAAGTCGAGGTAATTGATGGAATTACCATGCCAGCTGATTCCCCAACTTGTCCCAAAAGAAAGAAAACAATATATTAATTTAAAAAATCATCACTTATTCATTCAACAAACATTTGCTGAGCACAGAACAGCGTGGAGAACATGAATAATGTTGAGACACGGTTCCCTGGCCTGTAGGTGCACGCACACCGGTCAGCTATGCTATTAGACGAGCACACACGAAGACTGCACTCTAAGGGCACAGGGGAAGGGCTATGACAGGAGAGAGTGCGGGGCCACTGCCGGCTGGGGGGGGGGCCACAGACTGTCCTGCCCTGAAGCTCTGAGACTTGAAGGCTGGACGGTGGGCTCATGGGCTTGAAGAGCAGAGGATGGAGGAGGAGGCCTGGTTGAGGAATCTGGCCCCGTGGCAGGGGCAGATGAAGGTGCTTCGGCAGGGACGCGACATGTGCAGAGTCGGATCCTGGGGAGATGCACGTGATGGTGATGGCAGACCTGGTCCGGGGGCAGGACTGTGGGGTCAGGGGTGGGGGTAGGGGTGTGGTCATCGGGACCTTAGCTAACGAGGGCCTGCACTGCGAAATGGGAATCTGACAATAAGGGAAGTACAATAAAGACAGCGAAAAAGAAAAGAGGAACTGAGTAAAACAGATGCTAAATCCTTTTTCAAGAATGGTTGAAACTATGCTGTCAAGCTGAAAGCACTCACAACATATTTTTACAAAACCTACATCGTTTAGTATTTTCTCAGTTAGAAATTCCATCTGGGTGTGTGTCTCTGTGTCTCAACAAGGACATCCACGCAGAAAAAGAGCACTCCGACACAGAAGAAAATACCTTTACCTTCTACAAGAATACATCGCAAGAGCAAATCCACGTTTCGTGAGAATATAGAGCATATTTACGAACCATGTAAGATAACTCAAAATAAAGCTTAATTGCATTCAAAGTTCACATCTCTGTAGCTTAGATTCCCTGAGGATTGCTGGCACCTTGACCCCTGAACTTTCTTTTAGCAGGATGGAGCGTGTGTCAAAGAACAGTTCGGAACGTCGGGAAGCCGGAGAGGAAGGTTTCCAGCGACTCGGCTATCTGCTCCTAAAGAGAACAAGCCAAGGGCTGTGCTTCTCCAGCCCACAGCTGCAGAGCTGCCGTCCACAGGCCCCGCGTTGCTGGCTTACACGACGGAGACACGGAGGAAAAGGATAATCAGCTCTATTTCATCAGCAGGATAAATTGCCAACTTGGTATTAAAATTTAGTAATAAAATCAAATGCATATGCTAATCTCAGCATTATTTAGAAAAGTCTATTTTGGATCTAGAAAAGAACAATCTACATATAATTACAAATAACAGAGATGTTTATCATCAAGAGGTCTTTGAGAAGAAACAAGCGGCTGAGCGATGGATCCTTATTAAGGTTTTGATTCGTAAAAAAGTTGATCACCCCACCGACAGGTGGACTACAGAGATTCCACAGCCCTTGTGTCGTTGCTTATAAAAGTATCAAGCCTAACTACGTTTTAACAAGACTCTCTTGTAATCATTTAGTTAATTATTTATCTGGTGCTACTTTTCCATGGTTTATTCACTGAATGCATTTGAATTCTTGTTCAGCTGGAAATAGATTTAGTGAGAGGAGACCATGTTTAAGGAAGAAAAGAATATACAGGCATTTGAGGATGACACGGTCCTCTTTCCCCTATACACACCTTCACACACACACACTCACATACACACTCATACACTTGCACACACTCACACATACACATACACACACACAGACAATGGAGCACTGTCCTTCAAAGCTTTACGGGAAAATGATTTTCTCCCTAGGAGTCTATGTTCGGGCGAGCTAACAATGTGTGTGAAGGAAAATAAAAAATAGTTTCAGACAAAGAACTGAGAAAATTTATTTCCTGTTCCCCCACTTTCTTAGGAAATTACTCCAGGAAGTACTCCAGCAAAATAAGAATGTAAATTAATAAAAAGATGTGGGATATAAGAAACAGGGGATCCAGCCCTGGAGAATAGTGGGGACAGCCCAGGACACTCTTGGGTGACAGACCTGGAATGGGAGAGTGGGGAGCGAGGCTCTAGGATGGAGGACAGCAGGAGAAAAATGGAGAGAACAGAAAGTGGTGCAGAATTCCGGGGAAAGCTGAAGGCTGACAATGTTGAACTTCACCCGAGCCCCATGTTCAGAAAACAGCAATGGTTAAAGAGATCACCCTACTCTCTATGTCCTTGCAAGCAGCTCACAGTGAAGAACCGCCTTTCCCCAAAGGGCTTAGAAAAGATGCATGGGTACCCCCAGGTTTGCCTACAACAAGGTGGACACAGAGGCCCAGGGATAGTGCCACTGAGAAGAAAGCTAATTTTCATTCATTACCCGGACATTGAATATTATGAATTATGAATATGTACATAGTCATAATTATGAAATGCCGTTTAATGGTTTTTGAGTTTTATAATCAAGCAATGAACCAAGCAGAGAGGACCTGGTTGTGGCTGTAGGACATTTAGAAGTTAAATTTAACTAGCTCTTCCAAAGAAAAACTGTAGCTGACAAAAGATGGGACACGGAGAGGGAAAGTGATAGGAAGGGGGGGAGCTCTGACACTTGGAAGTGTCCCTTTCATCTTCACAATAAGAAAGAAGCTGAACAAACTGAAAACCAATGGTTTTTCTTGGTCCCATCAGAAAATTGAGGTCACAGGGCAAAACGTCACCCCAAAATCTGGAGAGATGGGTGAACATAGAGAATTACAGCCAAGATCTGCTCTTCCTGGAGCAAAGGCCTTTGGAGCTGGCAGGAACACTTAACTGGTAACTTGAGCAATGGTGGAGGCTGTGTGTGGACTAGTGTGAGGCTGAGAAACCCCTGGGGGCCCAGTCTTAGGGACCCCCTACTTTCATGGGCTTTACCGTCAAGAACCCCACTAGGTTATCACAGTGGAAATCTGAAGATGGTCTCCTCTTGGCTCTGGCTGGGAAAGGGGAATAATAATCCTAGGGAAATATGCCCAGAGGCTTCGGCGTAATAATTTTCCAAGGGAAAAGAATTTACCAGAGCCTTATCCCATCTGGGGGAAAGGCAGTGAGCCAACTCCAGCCCCCTCTAGACTTCCTGTCTCATCTGAGGGAGAAAAAAAAGCTAAGAAACATCTCTGAAGGTTGCAGCCCAGGGACTCAAGCCCACTGAAAGACTGAGATTTCATCATAAGAGTATAGAATCTTTCCCCTCCCTCATCCCTTACCACCACATCAAGCCAGCTCCAGCATAACAACAGTGGGTTACAAAGGAAAGAGCTGCAAACACAGACTCTATTTAAGGAGGAGTTCCTAGGAAAAAGCCTAAGGAGACAGGAGGGACAAAAACAAGGACACTCTAGGAAATCCAAGCCCTTGGCACTGACAGCTACAGCAGCACTAAACACAGCCCACCTCCTGCCCGAATTAACATACAAGCTCACGTGAAATGCTTGCTTACCTCAGTTCCTATTACCCAGTGTGTCATGTCTGGCTTTCAACAACAATAAAGCTGCAAGGCATGCTAAAAGGCAAGAAGAAACACAGTCTGAAGGGACAGCAAAGCAAGCATGGGAACCAGTCTCAGACATGATGTAGTTTGGAATTATCAGACAGGGAATTTAAAATGACCAGCTATGATTAAATTGTAAAGGAGTCCAATGGCAAAAGTGGACAACACATACAACAAATGGCTAATGTAAGCAGGGATGGATACTCCTTCTTAGGAATCAAAGGAAATCCTGGAAATGAAAAACAGCGTTAACAGGAATGAAGAATGCGTTTTAATGGGCTCATCTGTAGGCTGGACATGGGTAGGAAAAAATCAGTGAGCTTGAAGTATGTCAGTAAGAAAATTCCTGAATTGAAATGCAAAGAGAAAAAAAGAGTGGAAAAAAAAACCCAGAGCAGAACATCCAAGAACTGTGGGACAGTTTCAAAAGTGGAACATACTCGTAATTGGAATACCAGAAAGAGAAAAAGAAAGAATCAGAAAAAAACATTTGACGTAATAACGGCCGAGAATTTTCCAAAATTAATAATAGACACAAGGCACATTTCCAGGAAGCTCAGAGAACACCACGCAGAAAAATACCAAAAACTATACCCACTTATATCATACTCAAACTGCTGAAAACCAAAGACAAAGAGAAAATCTTGAAAGAAGCCAGAGAGGGGGTAAAGCATCTACAGAGGAAAAAAGATAAGAATTACATGGGGCTTCTCATCAGAAATCATGCAAGCAAGAAGAGAGTGGACTGAAATATTTAGAGTGTGGAAAGGAAAAAATCACCAACCTAGAATTCTATAACCAGTGAAATTATCCTTCAAAAGTGAAGGAGAAATAAATACCTTCTCCGACAAACAATCACTGAGGGAATTCATCACCAGCCACCCTGCCCTTCAAAACATGCTAGAACACATTCTTCTGAGAGAAGGAAAATCAGACAGGTCAGAAACATGGATCTACCTAAAGGAAGAAAGAGCATAAGAGAAGGAATAAATGAAGGTAAAATAATATCTTTTATTCTTCTTATTCTTAGTTGATCTAATAGATCATTGTTCAAAGTAACAATAACAATGTATTGGGTGACTACAGCAAATGGAAAAGTGACATGAGTAAGAGCAATGTTACAGGGGACAGGAGAGGATTCAGGGACACTTAGTTTGTCATAAGGCGCCTGCGCCTCCCGTGAAGTAGCAATGTGTTTAATGTGTTATTTGACAGTGGACTTAGGCTAGCTGTTCATGTGCAGTGCAAACCCTAGAGCAACCGCTAACATTTTCTAAAGGGAGGGGAGGGGTGCTAGTATCCTCACCTCACAAAGAGAGGAACATAAGACCCATGCACTTAGTCATAGAGCTTCCAGCCAGCACAGCTAAGGGACACCGCAGGTCAGAAACTGCATGCAAAAGCAGTCCGAGGAGGACCAATCAACTCTGAGTTATTTGGGTTTAAAATTATAAGAGGATAGGACTTGCAGTTAAAGTGGCTTGAATGCACATAACTAGCTCCGTTCCTTCTAAAGTGACAGAAGAAGGCGTTTTTAAAAGGCGTCAGACAGTGGTTCTTGGGATGCTCTAGTCCAGCAGCATCAGCATCACCCAGGGCCTCGTTGGAAATGCAGATTCCCAGGCCTGCTAAGTCAGAGAGCCCGAGGGAGGGGCCCAGCAAGCCCAGTTTCTGATGCTGGCTGGAGTTTGCAGAACACCAGCAGAAAACAAGAAGGACGGAGAGAAAGTGGAAGAACACAACAGCTGCTGGGAATTTGATGGATGAGGGAGAACAGACGTGTCAGATTCAAGAAATCTCCTCCTGGAACCAACAGAAGGAACACGGAAGGGTATCCGATACACCCTGCAAACCCTCAGAGCCTCCAGAAGTGGGCTCCAGGTACACCTAGACGTAGGAATGAAAGTGGGGTTAAAAGAGAAGGATTGGCTGAAAGCCTGTGGGGGATGCAATTTGACCCTGTGCCCCTCCTCAGACTCCCCAGGCTGGGTGCCTGGCCCCCTCCCACCCACCACACACAGTGGAGGATCTGGAGGGGTGTCCTCTGCAGATGGTAAGTGTTTGTCACAGTTCAAAACAGGGAGGGTTCTTAATGAAAAGAGGGGAGTTAAGTGAAAGCTTTTATACTGACTCTACTAGTTTCCTGTGACTCTATAACATGATGCCACGAAGTGGGTGGCTTTAAACAGCACACATCTATTCTCCTACTGTTCTGGACACCAGAAGTTGGAAATCAGCTTCACTGGGCAGAAATCACGGTGTCAGCTGGGCTGTGCTCCCCCGAGAGGCTCTAGGGGATAATCTGTTCTTTGCCTCTTCCAGCTTCCGGTGGCCGCTGGCGATCCTTGGCTTGTGGCCACATCGCTCCAATTTCTCCTTCTGTGGTCACTTCTGGGTGAAATCTCTCCCTGACTCCCTCTTATAAGGACACTTGTGATCACACTGGGCCCACCCATATAACCCAGGATCACCTCCCCTTCTCAAGTTCCTTAACTTCATCACATCCATGAAGTCTCTTTCCATATAAGGTGACATTCACAGGTTCCAGGAATTAGGACTTAAATATCTTTGGGGGCATTATTCAGCTTATCATGCTGACTGTTGAAACTTCCAGCCTTCTGTGCCCAGTCAGCTCCCAGAGTGCTGGCAGCAGGAGACCAACAAGTCTTCTCTGGTTGGGTCGCCAGGTTTAGAAAAACAAAGAAACAAACAGAAGCCTAGAAGGATACTCAATTAACTTAGAATTTCAGATAAACAAAAATAATTTTTAGTATAAATATGTACCAAATATCGCATGGCACATACTTATACTAAAAAATATATTGTTTATCTGGAATTCAAATTTAAATGGGCACTCTATGTCTTATCTGGCAACCCTAATCCCTGGGAAATCTGACCAGCCCAAAAGAAAAGTTTTAAATATTCTGACATTGGGAGTCTTCTTTGGCAGATTACCCTGCCAAAGCGGTTCAAACTGAAGTTGACTAGCTCTCCCCATCTGTGCAGAACTTTTAATCTATCTCTTAGTATCTCATTCTTAATAGGAGCATATTTTTGAGGAAAATGTCTAACATGGAAGAGAGCAGAAAAAAGCAACACTGAGGAGAGACTTCTCAAGTGAAGAAAACTTTAAAAAAATCTATTCTTAATATCTTCAGAGACATGAACTAGTATATCCATGAAACAAGAACAGGATGCTATAGAAAAGGAAAATTCTGAGAATAAAAACAAGTTCTGGGGGCTTCCCTGGTGGCGCAGTGGTTGGGAGTCCGCCTGCCGATGCAGGGGACGCGAGTTCGTGCCCCGGTCCGGGAGGATCCCGCGTGCCGTGGAGCGGCTGGGTCCGTGATCCATGGCCGCTGGGCCTGCGCGTCTGAGGCCTGTGCTCTGCAGCGGGAGAGGCCACAACAGTGAGAGGCCCACGTACCGCAAAAAAAAAAAAAACAAAACAAGTTCTGGCAATTTAAAATATGATAAGTATGATTAGCAGAGACAAAAATCTCAAAAGAAGGGTTGCGAACTAAAACTGAGGAGGTCTCCCAGAAGGTGGAGCAAGAAGAAAAAGAGATGGAGGACGGGGAAGGCTTAAAATAAAAGGGGACACTCTGGGTGGCTCACTAATCAGTAACAACAGGAGGCTCAGAAAGAAACAAACAGGAGAGGAACTCTTTAATGAAGTAAATCAAGAAAATTTCTGAGAGTTGAAGAACGTGAAAAGGGACGTCCAAGAAGATGAAGCTGACAGATCAGCTGAGGTGTCTGAACATACTGGAAAGAGATTTCACAAGCTGGGGTGGGTTGGGGGTTTAATTAGTGATAAGAACTACATGGAAACTGAGCAAACAGAAAAAATTATTATTAACTCCAGGGCAAACAGCATGTTCTACGGGAAAAGAAAAGTGATCAGCTGGTCACAGTAATAGAAAGCCTGAATATTGAACTACACCAAACTGTGACACAGCAATATGGGGGGACAACGGGGTAAGTTTGCGTGTGTCTCCACGGGGTGGTGGAGGCTGCGGGGTGAGGTGGTTGGTGGTTATGTGATGGGTGAAAAAGAGTTAAATCTGCATCTTCCTGGTAGGAAGTTGATAGACACTGCCTAGAAGTGAAAAATCAAGAAGTAGCTGTATAAGTTTGTCACTTAGAACTACTGAGTTAAGTACCAAAAGATATGAATTAAAGCATTGGAAGTTATAGACTCTGGGGAGGAGGTGGGGAGGATAGCAGGGCAGGGGGCTGCTGTTTTTAATAAGCCTTGCAGGACAACTTGACTCCTGCCCAAGTGCATGAATAACGTGGGTGAAATGAAAATAATGTTAAAAAAGGATGATTATGCTGTTGAGACACACCAGGAAAAGTCATGGATTTGTCAAGTTGCTTTCTTTTTGCTTTGAGTTGACTCAAACCCATTAGAACGCAGCCCAGCCAGAGGAGTATTTGAAGATTCATTCATTCTTTTTTTTTTTAAATGGAGATCCCATTGGTTTATAGTATTATATAAGTTCTATGAGTACAACACTACAGTTCTACTTCTGTACACAGATAGAGACTGAGTTTTTAGTGGCACGGAGGTTATTTCAATGCCGAAAGGCTGTTTGAGTGGACGGGAAAGGAAGAAATTCACGAAAGCAATGCGGCAACCTGATTTTCAGTGCTGTAAGAAACGTATTGCCTCATCGTAGAAAACCTGGTTAGAAGATCGGCCAGCTCCTCTGCCTTCAGAGGACAGCCGCACTCCTGCAGCAACTTCTGCATCTTGCATAAGGATATGTAGCCATTTTTGGATGTATCTAGTTTGATGCGTGCTTTGCTGATATCTTGATAGAGGTCCTTAAGCTTATCCCTGAAAGAGAATGCATTTGAGACACACACTAAAAGCCGGAAAACAAATAATTTCTTTAAAGCAAGAGTTCCATGATCATTCTAATGTGATGATTTGATGCTTCATCTGACAATGAATTTTGAAGATGCTTTGCAGCCTTGATGTAACATTTACATTGAAAGGTATTCTGGAAAAAAATAATCATTTTTATCATTACCATTTTATTATTATTATCATTAGCAAAACTATGTTAGAGAAATTACAACCTTGTCTTTTTACTAGAATGGGTACTTTAAAAATGGAGCCAAACATTTAAAAATACAGTGATATTACAGACACGGGAAATACACCTCCATCCTCTTGATGCAGACTCGTTGAGCACGTATCACGTGCCAGGTACTGCTCTAGGTGTCAGGATACACCTAGTGAATGAGAGAGGCCTCCCTAGAAGAATTTACATTCTCCCTGGGGCAAGGCCAACGATAAACAGGAGACAACAGTGCCCTGCACAGTGGGTCAGGGGTTAGCTGAGCCCCCATAAGCGGGGCTGAGAATGCCCATGGTAGGGGGCGCTGCAATTCCCAGTAGGGGGTGCAGGGGGACCTCACTGGGGAAGGTGACACTTGAGCAGAGATGGCAGGGAGGTCAAGGACCCAGTGGGGATTTACCCCTGGAAGACCTCTCTGGGCCCAGGGACAACCAGCGCCAAGGCCCTGAGGCAGGAATGCAGGAGCGGGAACCAAGGAGGGCAGAGAGTCTGGTCAGTGAGCTCTGATGGGGGCGGGGGTCCAGGTCCTTTGTCCTTAAGAAGCACAGCCCATAATTTGCGTGTCTCAGTTGGGAAACCAGAAGCTGTGCTGTCTTTATGTACCTTCTCCCATTTATTTTTCTCAAAAGCCCTACAAGGGAGGAGGGTAATTATCATCCCCGTTTTATAGGAAGAAGACAGTGCCAGCCTGTGCAGCGCCTGGGCTCAGCCAGCTCTCCCCTGCTGGGATAGAGACAGCGTCCGGCTGTAACTCCTGATCGTGCTCGAGGGCTGATTTTCTTAGGAATGTGTTCAAGTTTCTGATTCAGTCTTTCAGGAAAATTCTTCCCAGACTTAAAAAAAATTATTGATAAGGGAATAAAAAAGTGTGGACAATTTTAGGAATAAACAGTCTTACACCTGACCTACAGGGGATGGATTATATTCCATAAACTCGCTCATCCAGGTCCCAGGAAGCTCGTCCTACCACACTGAGCACTGTGTCCGTCTGACTTGAGCTCGGCTGTGAGGTTCCTACTCAGGGAAAAGGATATGCCAGAAACTCCAAACACGAACTCTTTGCTGGTAATTGTCTACCACCTCCGATATGTATTTGTGGATACATATCCACAAACTGTTCCTTGAGTGTGCCTGGAAAAAATAATCCATAGCAACAGAGAAGTCAGAAATCAGAAGAGGGGAAGTTGAGGGAATACTTGGGGGGAGAGGGAGGCTTGGACCCTGAAGCTACGTGGGTCACCGTCTCCCTCCCCTGCTGGCCTCCGGGTCCGAGCTGGCTGGTGTGAGTCTTCGAGAAGCTGATACAAATGAGCTGCAGTAACTGTCCGGGGAATGTATCCCAAGGGCAGCAACACCCTGGATTCCCTCACAGGTGTACTTTGAATTCCGTCCCATCCTACAACATGATTACTCGTGATCACAACTATTATATCCCACTTAATCCTTCAAAATGAAAGCAAATGAAGGTGTAAAAAAAATCAAAACTTTTTTTGAGATACATATTTTTAGAAAATTGAGGCGTTCAGTATTTCTTGGACTGGTTTCCAGGCAGTAATTATTTCCCTCGCAGGGTAAATATGTGCTCAGAATAAGTGAGGATTCGGAGCTCTGATCACGCCACACTGCCAGGCAGGACCTGCGTCAGCCCACACAGTGTCTGGTCCCTGGTCTGGACAACGAGACGGAAGCCCGAAGAGGGCAGTGGCATGGCCGGTGGACGGCCACAGAGCCCCTCACACACAGCCTGGCCGGCACGCTGGCGAGGACCCTGTGCAGCCCGGCTGGGTTTGCTCCTGTGTCTCGCAATTTGCATTTCAGAACAGCCGGCTGAGCTTCCGCGGCTAGTTCACTATTGCTGGTCTGACTCTGGAAAATAAATAGGGGTTTAGAAAAGGATTCTTCTGAATTTTTAAAATGTATTCAGGCCATTTCAAACAAAATTAAACCTCTTAGATTTAAGAGGCAAACATAAAATTTCAGTCACTTGAATGAACACGACTCCTGTTTCTTAATCTTATCAAAGCTTCAGTATAAATGAGGAGGTTAAAAGTCCTGGAAACACTGCATCTGATGGGTTATCTGGAAGACCCACTGACACCAAAAGTGAAAAGTGGGCCATCCTGAAGGGGAAAGTGACTTGACAATTTCGCAATCTGACATCTTTGAGGAAACAGAAGCCGGTCATGAATTTTTACGCATCGGGCTTGATTTCTTTGGTAAGGGAGCGTGATGGTGGGAGGGGACCGGGTGAGTGTGAATCAGTTTTCGGAGCCTGATGATCTGAAACGCTTCGTCCAGTGGCACGTAGTTCTCCCAGCTACAGATCCACGATCGCACGATAAACAGAAACAAGAAGAGAAAGACCATGCGGACGATGCTGAGGATATGAGATGCCTCCCAGAGCCTCGTTACTCACAAGTAGCAGGAGAGAGGGAAGGGAAGACACGTGTGGGTAATGAGGCCAGCCCTGTCTGGGAAAGATAAATTCCACTTTTTTGTTACTTTTATGGCATATTTGATATTTATACCAATCTTGCGCACATTTTTACTTGAAATTTCACCAACTCCATTCTCTGCCTTCGGGCTTTATAACTCAGTAACTTAGACATAATTCAGGGGTGTGTTCAAACTGCCCTTCTCTTAAACCCCATTCAGCCATTACATTTCATCCCTGTGTCCTTGGAGTGCTTCTTTCCTCTGGGGATTCTTTAGCAACAGCTCATTCACTCATTCAGAGATGATGGGGACAGAGAGGTGAAGTGACAGACAGGAGATGGACAGACACACAGATGAGAATGCCAGGGAGGTAAGCCTCTGGAGCAGGGGGCAGGGTCCCAGGCCTGGGGAGTGGTGGTGGGCGGCCACCCAGGACCGAGACTGATTGAGAAAGTCTGTCCCATCCCTTTAGGGTCACATCAAATGCGGCAAAATTTTCTCCTATGTTCCTTTTTTTTTTGAGGCATAATTGACATATAACATATTAGTTTCAGGTATACAACATAATGATTTGATATCTGTATACACTGTAGGACGTATAGTTACCGTCCATCACCATCCATAGGATGAGAACTTTTAAGATTTACCTTCTTAGCGACTTTCAAATACGCAGTACAGTATTACTAACGATAGTCACCTTGCTGTACATCACATCCCCAGGACCTATTTCTATCATAATGGAAGTTGTGCTTTTTGACCCACTTCACCCACTTCGGCACCCCACGCTACCCTCACCTCTGGCAACTGCCAATCTGTTTTCTGTATCTATGAGCTTGGGTTTTTTTTTAAAGATTCCACATATAAGTGAGATCGTATGGTTTTTGTCTTTCTTTGTCTGACTTATTTCACTTGGCATAATGCCCTCAAGGTCCAGCTGTGTTATCACAAATGGCAATATTTCATTCTTTTTTATGGCCGAATAATATTCCATTGTATATGTATGTACCACATTTTCTTTATCCATTGTTTTAGAATTTTAAAATATGGCATTAGTGACTAGTTTCATTAGTGACTATTTTTAAACTTTGAAAGGAATCACGCGCAGTCCCACCATCCAAATACGACACGATACCTTCTGTACAGCATCTTGTGGACAGGCACGTACATTTGGTGTAGCTCCAATCATGGTGTACAGACTGTTTATTTATTTATTTTGGCTACACCACGGGACACTCGGGATCTTAGTTCCCCAACCAGGGATCAAATCCGAGCCCCCTGCAGTGGAAGCGTGTAGTCCTAACCACTGGACCGGCAGGGAAGTCCCTATACAGACTGTTTAAAACTTCATTGCCAGTTAGCCTTCTATCACAGACATTCCCACAGTGTCTGAGGTGATGGTTGAAACTGGCATACACCATCTCATATTCCTTGGGGCCACGCTCTGTAAGCCAGGCCCTCATCTGGGATTGACAGGTGTCCTTTTCTTTCTTTTTTTTTTTTTTTGTGGTACGCGGGCCTCTCACTGCTGGGGCCCCTCCCACCACGGAGCACAGGCTCCGGACGCGCAGGTCCAGCCGCTCCACGGCACGCGGGATCCTCCAGGACTGGGGCACGAACCCGTGTCCCTTGCATTGGCAGGCAGACTCTCAACCACTGCGCCACCAGGGGAGCCGACAGGTGTCCTTTTGTTGCTGCTGTTGAAAACACACTGCAAGTCATACCTTCTACCTGCTAAACTGCTGGCCTCTTCCACATTATTTCTTTGGGATAAAGTCCCAAAGTTAAAGTTGTGTTAAGTTGAGTTAAAGAATGTGTCTGTTCCTTCATTCATTCGCCGGACAAATACTCACTGGGTGCCTACTAGGCGTCAAGCACTGTTCTGAACCAGGTAGAGACAGGCATGTCCTCGTGGAACCTCCATTCTACTTGTCCAGAGGAGGGGCCAGGGGCTTAGGTTAGTAAACACCTCAAAGGTTCAGTTCTCAAGGGTGACCTGAGAGTGTGACTGCGTAGGGTGGCGTAGGCTTATAGCTCTTTAACTCCTTTGTAGCTTTGTGACTTAGCGCCGATTTCTAGAATCTACAGCAGTGAACGAGTATTACAATTTCACGGCAGCTTTGCCAGCACTGGGAGGTACCACTTCAGAACAAACAGTGCTGCAAGGGTCAACGAGGAACGGACGCCGGCCCCCGGGCCGTGTGCTCACAGACTCACCCGGCCGGCACGGCCCTCTCCGTGCTCTGCTCCTTCATCTCTTGCACCTGCTGTGGCTTCGTGAAATGACCCACGAAGTTGAAATAATCGTCTGCGTAGGGCTGATGAATAGCCACTGAACAGTTAACCCCCAATTTCTGTAAAACTTCTTGGTAAGTAATGTGCCCTCTTCCCTCGGTGTCGTACCTTTAAAGACAAACAAAACTCTCACCAGTGCGAGGTGCTCAGGGCTTTAACACCGTCTGCACTCCATCTGCCTGGCTCCTCACACCCCGTGTGCTCTGCAGGCCTGCAGCACCGGCCTCCCCGGGGGTCAGGAACGCAGGATCTTGAGCCTCACCCCAGACCTGAGCTGGACCTGCTCGTAACAAGACCCTCAGGCGATCCACAGGCTCATCGATCAACAGGAAGGTCACCTCACACAAGGTGATCTTGGACCACCCCAAGAGAGCAACCGGATTCATCCTCTGTCATTCTGTTAGAAATACGACCGTGACCACGGAAAATTAAAACCAACCCTTCCTTAATTCAACGGTCTTTTATTGAGCACCTACATGTAAGAGGAACTATGCTAAGGTTCAGAAGAAAATCCGTCAAAAAGCATATTCAGGGGCTTCCCTGGTGGCGCAGTGGTTGAGAGTCCGCCTGCCGATGCAGGGGACACGGGTTTGTGTCCCGGTCCGGGAAAATTCCACATGCTGCGGAGCGGCTGGGCCCGCGAGCCATGGCCGCTGAGCCTGCGCGTCCAGAGCCTGTGCTCCGCAACGGGAGAGGCCACGGCGGTGACAGGCCCGCGTACCGCAAAAAAAAAAAAAAAAAAAAAAAGCATATTCAATCTTAAAACTCAAATAAATGAATGCCACTTGATTCCAATTCCCCATTTTCTCTTTGAAGAGATGCCAATTACACACAACCAACGAGAGAGACTAGTAAGGAAAACAAGATAAGGATTATGTTATGTACCTTTTATGTCATTTTCTATTATTGGGATTTTTCTAAATTGTAATTCATTTTAAAAAAGGCATAATGGAGGATTTTTATCTCCCAACATCATTCAAATAGAAAAGAATTACTTCAATAAAAATTTTTAAGGCAAATTGCCAATTTTCTTTAAAGAAAAGAAGCATTTATTTTCACGGAAAGATCTCGGTCCTCCTCTAACCGATAAAAATGGCATTTCCGGCTGTGCTTTTCCCAGATGAACTCAGCGTTCCGAGGGCTGAGGCGGTATTTGCACAATGTCTGGGGCTTCACGCTGCATCCGGCTGCTGTCGGTGCCTGTGGGACGGAGCCAGGCGCCCTGGGCTCTCCTGTGTGAAGCAGGGCCCCCTCTGCTCTCCGCCGCCGGCCAGATGCTGCAGGACCACACGCTGGCCGCCGCCCCAGCACCGGGTCCCCTGCGACCCTCCCAACTGAGTAACGACGAGGAGAACGGATTTATTTACCCGACTTTCCTGTCCTCAAGGGCTGGGGTGCTGGGTGGAGGACGAGGGGTGAGAAGTTCCCGAGGCCCCCCTGCCCACCCCCTCCCCCTGCGGCCCCCCTGGGCCTCGCGTCTCACCTCCGCCTGCCTCCCAGCATCCAGGCCTGCTTTCATCAGGGACTCCTTCCTAGAAGGTGAGGAGAGTCCCCTCCTGCGACGGAGGGGCAGGGAGGGCAGTGATGTCTGAGACGCCAGCTCACCGGCCTCGAGTCGCTGGCCAGGTCCCGCCACCCAGCCTGGCTCGGCTTCCTCACCTGGCCTGCAGCACGGAGGGGGAGGGCGCTCTGAGACCTGCTGGCCTGCAGCACGGAGGGGGAGGGCACTCTGAGACCTGCTGGCTGGAATCATGCCCCCAGTGCCGTCGTTGTTTCTAAGGGTTTGGGAAGCCCTCCCAGACCTTTCCAGGCGTCCGCTATTAGTTCGACCTTAGTGCCTGCAACCCCCAAAAGTACCATTCTACCTTTAGTCAGTGAATTTTCCTTCTAAAACAAAACAAAGCGACCCACCCACCAGAGGAAGCCCGAGGCTTGTAGTGGCTTTATGTGCCAGGCGGCACGAAGGGCCAGTGCCTCTAGCAAATGGCTTCTCCTACTGCTGGTGACGGGACAGCTGCAGGAAGGAGAGTCTAGTTCTCCATCAGTGCACCTGGAAAGGGGAGGGTTGCCATTTCTTGAGCTCCTAGGGCGATCCCAGGGCCGTGGGTCTTTCCCTGAGCTGCATCAGGCCCGTGACCAGCCTGATGCCACCAGAGTGCTGCTGTGATGCAACTCTATAAAGACACCCCTAGAAGAAAGCTCCCCAAGGGGGCTCCCCACCCCTACAGGGCGCTCCTGAGAGAACGTGCACAGACCACCCGCCTGACAAGCAAGGCCTGGCCAGCAGGGCGCCTCTTCTGGGGCCTCTCTCTCGTCCTGAGGCAAAAGCACTGTGTCTCCGCCTCCCCTGGATCCCTGTAGCCTGTGGTGAGGACCGGGGAGCGGGGTGAGCGCTGGTGGAGGCTGGGACCAGGGCCTGGTGTTTGCCACTGCTATTCGCCACCCAAAGGCTCAACCACATCTCACCTCTGCTTCCCCCACTTCAGTCCGTGTCTTCCCTCCCTGCTTGACGGTGGGTTTCTCGAGGAGAGCCCATGCCTCGTTTATCTTGATGGGCGAACCCACAGTTCCCAGCAACATGCCTCGCAAAACTTCCTTATCGATACCTGGCTGCTGAGCAATGAACGTGAAGGGCACGTGTCCCTAAGGAAGGCCTGCCATCCCCGCAGGCAACGCTCACGATATTCCCAACAACAAATTCTCAATCGTGACACTTGAACTGAATGGAAAGACACTTCTTAATTACTTCATTAATAAAGATCATAAACATTCTATTCGCATCTCCAAGGAACAGAAGACCAGATTGCACAACTGCAACTAAAATATTGTTATGAATGTGAATAATAAGAGAGTTAATTCAGCTTACATAACCTCACCCTTCATCATATAATCCTTTGTGTCACATTAAAAAAAATCAACTTGCCTGTAAAGGTTGAATTTTAAAAGGGTTCGGCAACAGATATGCCAAGAAAAATGTGCACATAAACAGAGGACCCATAAAAACTCGCATTTGCATATGGCAATGGCCACTAATTTATGATATAATCAGATTACTCTGCCCGTCTATTGTACACACAGCAATTTGGTTGTACACATGATCTGAATATGTTCACATCGATTGCTGTGCTGTGAAAGTCTTACCCTTTCATGCTCAGTTTAGCAGTTGATTCTTACATAAATGACAGAAGAATCTTCCAGCACCACTGAACCCAGATTCAGAGGGTCTGGTGCAAGCCCCACTGACGACCCAGGCCCGCAGCAGAGGGAGACGTGGTCCTTACGCAGCTTGGACAGAGGGATTCTCTCGGGGACCATCTGTGAGGGTGGTCCGATGGCTCAGAGAGCTGCCCTTCAGAGCACACAATGTCCAGCTGCCTAAGGGGGCAGTGCCCAATGGCACACGCAGCCAGTCCTGGTGGAGCCACAGATGAGACACCATGGGCTCCATCCCCATCCAGGGCCACAATCCCACCCTTACGCTCCCCAATAAGCGGCGGTCTGGCCTTGGATGAAGCCACGCCAGAGATGGGAAATCTTCTCCTTCAGGGACTGTCCAGTGTAGTTCTAGACGACGTTAGTCACGAAGGTGTCCTTTATGCGGAGCTAAGGGCCTGTCCAGCTAGTCCCTCCTTCACGCGCAGCTCTTCTAACTCATCCCCGACCATCACGTCCCATTCGATCCTCTCTTTTCTGAACTGTTCCTTCAACCTTTTCAAATCCTTTCCCACCCAGAGGCTCTCCTGGTCCAGGTGTTCCACCAGCATGGCACAGGGTAGGTTCTCTCTAGACACTGCCTTGGTTGAGGCAACAGAGATGACCCAGCTTCACGTTAACCGAGAGTCATATGTCTTCCCGTGGGCCGATGCACATGACACAGGGACTTTTTAATAGTCTTTGCCTTTTATATTGGAATACTAACATACAACTTACCTATCCAAACAAGAAATTTGCATAAATTGGGCATTAATTATCTCCCGAACATTCTGCCAGGTCTGCGTGATCAGCTGGTTGCACATGACCGGCATCTATACGCAAGTTTCCCAGGCTGCTGCTGTCCTACCTGAGTCGTCTGTGCATTTTTATAATACACTGGCTTCATAGTTTTTCAGCAAAGTTTGTTTTAGATCTAAAATAGCGGAGTTCTACCCAATGAAACGAGGCTACAGAAGGGGCTCAGGACACTGAGCGCCCCTGAAGGGCGTGTCCCCCAGAGCTCTGTGCCCTGGTCCTGGGGTGCCCTGTGCCCGGCAGGCTCTGGGTCTCAGGCTCTTCTGATGGAAGCAGCATCCTTCCTCTTCCATCCCAGGGACCTCCCACTCCCCCGGCTCTGGGCCTCTCTGCTCACTAGGACCCCCTTTCCCCACCTCTGGCTAATGTCTGTTTCTTAAGACTCAACTCAGGCATCGCACCTCCTGGGGGTCTCTCTCTGAACACCCACAGCCCGGGCTGCCCAGCCTCTCCCTCCTGGCATGCAGCTGCTGTCTTCCCGGCCGAGTCGTGAGCAACCTGAGGGTGGAGGCTTCCTTCATCTCTGGAACCCCACAATATAGCACAGGGCTTGCAACTTAGAAAGTTTCAAGAAAATCCTGCTTAATGATTGCTCTAATGAATGAATGAATGGATGGATGCACTTTCATCTTGTAATTTATTCTCTGCAGTCTCTCCAAAACCAAATGCATTGCTCCTGAAATCTCGTGCTAAAAGATCCTGCCTGGCTTCAGTTACCAGATTTCCTTTCACAGCAGCCTCCTTCAGGCTTGACGGTTGTGTACCTTTAACCCTCAGTGAGCCAGGCTCGCTTAACACGCATGTGCTCCCCACTCTGTCCGCCCCTGTGCAGTTAGCTGGGGCCACGGCCCGGCCCTGGGCCACGGGCTGTGGGCAGAAGTGTGTCCTTCTGGGCCGAAGCCCGCCGAAGCCCGTGTGCGGTCCTGTGCTCTGCAGGTCCCGGGGGACCCTGCTGAGGGATGAGGCCACAACTGGAAGCCAGATCCCGAATCACCACTTGGAAGAAAACCGTCCAGAAGAGCCGCTCGACATGCTAGACTTCGTGTGAATAAGAACTAAGCACACACGTGCCAGGTCACTGAGGTGTGGGAGTTAATGCGCTAATTTACTTCCAGCGTAAACAAGACCTGCCAGGCTAACCCGGAGCTCTGAAAGCGTGCGCTTCACAGGTGCTTCGTAAATGTCGAGTGAACAATGGATGCCTACAAGTTTTGTCTATATTCTCCCTATTTTCTAATTCTGTGTTTTCTACAGAGCTGAACGTCATTTTCCTACTCACTTCCAGCTACCCAGTTTTGGCGGGGGCTTTCCTCGCCTCACGAGCAGACCCCGGGAGCTGGCAGAGTGTCACGTTGGCCCCAGCTGCTCCCTGCCTTGCCGGGGGTCCCTGTCACTCCCGCCGGGTGGGAGAATGCCCCTCCCCCTGTACGGGCGACTGCAGGAGGCTCCTGGTGCCTGCACAGCCTGGCGCGGGCCACCACCTTGCCGCCTAGCCCTCCTGCTTCGTAAGGCAGGCGGGGACTTGGAGGGAGTGGACCAGGGTGAGTCAGGGTCAGCAAACGCTGAGCCATTGAGAGGAGCAGGCCAGGAGGTGGAATGAGGGTGAGGACGGCTAACCGATATCATGGAAACGCCTAGAAAATGGATGAAAAAAACCACACCACCAAGTTTATCCTCTCTGCTGAGTGGGGTACGGCTGCTTTCTTGCTGTTGTCTTTTCTTTTCCTTTATGCTTCTCTGGATTTTCTGAGTCTTCTAAAATGAGTGTGCATTAATATTGTAATCAGAAAATAATTTCAAATCTATATGATCTTTTTGCTACTAATTTTTATGCTTATCTACGCCAGGTACCCTCTTTATATCATTTGGTCCCCATTGCCATCCCACTGGAGAGATTACTGAAGCTCAGAGAAGGTGAGCCACTGGCCCAAGGTCACACAGCTCAGTCCGGGTGCCATGGGCCAGGGTGCAGGCCCCCTCAGAGCATAGCCCCTCAGCTGCGGGTTCACTTCCTAAATCTCTCTCACACCTGTCACTTCCATCCCAGTCCGCCAGGCACCACCCAGGGAAGACAGCCCTGAATTCACCTCTGTGCCTCCCTCCCCGTCTCTGGCAATTCATCCTCCTCCCCGTGGCCAGAGTGATCTTTCTGGAACGTGGGCCTGCCTCCCTCTTTCCCCGCTAAACACTTGGCCTTCAGGATGGGGTCCCCACCTCGCCCTGCCCTTCACGATGTGGCCCCACCAAACACCTGGCCTTCAGGATGGGGTCCCCACCTCGCCCTGCCCTTCACGATGTGGCCCCACCAAACACCTGGCCTTCAGGATGGGGTCCCCACCTCGCCCGGCCCTTCACGATGTGGCCCCACCAAACACTTGGCCTTCAGGATGGGGTCCCCACCTCGCCCGGCCCTTCACGATGTGGTTCAGCTGATGTGCAGCCTCCCCTCCTGCCTGGCCACCCAGGTGACCCCGCAGCCCTGGAATGTGACACACCCTTTGCCCGTTGGCTGGACATTCATCTGGTGGCTCTCGACCCCGCGCTTGCCCTTTGCACAACTTCCCGGCTGCCCCCTGGCTGCGCCCAGGGAGCTGTGCCCTTGGAGGTGGGAAGAGGGCAGGGCCAGGCTGTTCCCAGGGGACCTGCTGTCATGGCTCCGTAGCTCCGGCTCAGCACAGCAGTCGAGGTTCCCGCAAATTCCGAGACAGCATCAGGAGTGGAGGCAATTTCCTGGTCTCCAAATAATACGGCCTCCCCTTTGCCCTGCAGTCGCTGGTGGGGAGCAGCTCCCTCATCTCTGTGTAACCTCCCCCGCTTGCTCTTCCAGCCCAGGGCACAGCAGCCTCCCGGCCTCTGATTAATAGCGCAATCCCCCTGCAGACTTCTGCTACCCCCAGCCTCCCTTGCAGGGGTGCAGCCATCAAGGGATTCTAGCCAAAAGAATTTGGGCAAAGTGATGGCCATGTTTCCAGGCCTGGTCCTTACAAAGCTGACCAGAGGGTCCTCTGTACTCTGTTCCCTTCTCTGCTGGCAGACACATAAGATCCAGGGGTGGTGGGACTCCTGGTCCCTGAATGACTGTGAACAGAGCTCCCCAACACCCACACTACATTTTGACATCATTATGGGGCAAGCCCCTGGGATGCTGGCCTTGTCTGTTACCGCAGCCAGCCTACCCTGATCCATACACCACTTGAGCTAACTCAGCAGGGCAGAGTGAGGCACAGAGAAGTTAAGTAACTTGACAGGGGCCACACAGCTATAAGGGGTGGAGGCATGTCTGGCTGCAGAGCTCTCAACCACTCACCATCTACGGCAAACAGCCGGCTAAACAAAAGTAGATGAAATTCTCATCTCAAACAGTTTTCAGCACAGGGTAGATATCTGTGTATTTAATCATGTTAATACATGTATAAAGAAACTTTAGCCAAAAGCAACAGTGAGTGTCTCCCTCCCATGAACATGGAACCTTGCTCTGTCCCCCATCGGGAAGAGGGCTAAGCATGCTCTCCTTCCTCATGGGGACACCTGACTCCTACACCCCTCATTCTTGCAGCTTGCCCCATCCCTCCCTGATGGAGACCACAGTCTCCCGAAGCCCACACCCCACCAACCCCTTTTCTGAACTGCTTCCTGACTAGGCTTCCTAAAGCATGGCTTGACCCACATCACATTTTGTTGTTTCTGAATGACTCGTTAATACTGCCAGAAAGGGAGGACTGTGGCCAGGTGATCAGCCTCACCTTTCCTTCCTCAGCCTGGAGCCCAGGCACTGCTTGGAGAATGCCTCACCCGTCCTCCTGGCCCGTGGGTCAGGCAGCCCTCCTTCCCCATCGGGACCTTTGGAACAATTTCAGCTTCTCTCCCACCATGACAGCTTCCTGCTCTTCCACGGCCCCCAGCACCCCTACTTTTGTCTTCCTTTCTGCTCGACATGTCCCTCCTCTGGCATTTATAACAGGCGACTCTGCATCCTGGTATTGGGGTGAATGCTTCCTGCCCCCTGACAGCTCCCCGAGCGTCAGGACCACACAGTCACCTCTGCATCATCCACAGGTCTACGTGGTGAGAGCCCCATGCATTTGGCCACTGCACCCCATCTTCTGATTACTCAGATGGACCCACTCATCTAGTCCCTCAAAAGAGAAAACGGGTAGGGAGACCAAATTGTCCCTGAGTTGGAACTGACCTAAAACAAAACAAAACAAAACAAAAAACAAACCAAGGATTTTGTAAGAACTTCAAGTTGCTTTTCTAAATTAGACACAAAACAGCCTAATTCTAAACTCGGCCAACATTGCAGCTTTCCCCTTTGAACAGATGAAAAGCTGAAATACTACACGGACTGCTCCGTGGGCTTGCCTCTGAGAGGACATGCAATATTGGGGTACGATCCTGCAGGGATGCAAGTGGCAGCTAACATATAATGAAGAAGAAAGTAATTCAAAGACAGATCTGGAACTTGGAAATGGACCGCATTGTCAGTGCACCTTGAAACTTAAACATCTACACAGGGAATGTTGTAACTGGGGGCCTGGTTCAAAAGCAGCTAAATCTAAAGCACATTTTGAAAAATGTAGTCGACATTAGGTACAAGTTTCAGTTTAAGACACTCTTGGGAAACCACTCCAAGTTACCAAACCTTTGGTGATTTTCTTCCAGCAAATTACTGATCTATAAAACAGTTGTGCAACATTGATTTCCATCTTTAGGTGATGGGGAGAGACCACTTTTCCCTTTACCCATTGCAGATCTGTCTGCTGAGCTACTTGTATTAGAGTTAAGTCTTTGGGGAGGGACTTAGTTCTCTGAAACAGTAAAAGGATGTGGTTGAACTCCCGGTTCCTTGGAAATGCAAAACTCTCAAGTCTAGTATTTAATACTGGTGACAAGTGTTTACCTGGCTCCCCATGTTCCTGAAGGCTGAGCTACTTGTATTAGAGTTAAGTCTTTGGGGAGGGACTTAGTTCTCTGAAACAGTAAAAGGATGTGGTTGAACTCCCGGTTCCTTGGAAATGCAAAACTCTCAAGTCTAGTATTTAATACTGGTGACAAGTGTTTACCTGGCTCCCCATGTTCCTGAAGGCCAGCCTGTTGGCCAAGGCTTCTTTCCACGGGGGAACAGGACAGATACAACCGTAGGAAAACCATTCCTGGTCCCACCTGACCCCTGAGGAGTGACGAAAGCCTGGTGCTGAATTTGGCCATCCGGAATGAAAAGCCAGCCTTCAGATACCACTCACCTCATCCAAAGCTTCTCACATTCTCTGGGTGTGAGGGGAATATCAAAGCCGTACAGCGCGTTCTTTACATCCCGTCGTCGAAGAATGCTGTTGCCCTCATTGTCGGTTTCGATAAAATTCTACAATATTCCAAGGAGGCATTTAGTAACATGCATAATTGCTCAGACAGTATACAGGCTTTTCAATAGTCAGTATCTGGAACAAGCTAAGACATTTTTCTCCCATTCCTCCTGCTTAAAAACCTTTTAATCTATGTCCTAGATACCCTCCCCATTCCTCTAAAGAAGGTGATCGAGCAAAACACGAACAAGTGTTAACACCTAGGAGGGGCTTATTTCTGGGTAATGAGGGGTCTCAGGTGTGTGGCTTGGATTCTTCTCTGACCAACAACTTGCGATCAAACACTGTTAGAAATAAGAGTCAACCAGAGCCTGGGAAATGAGGCGTAGCCCACACTGCTGAGGTTATCACAACTTGGGATCAAACACTGTTAGAGATAAGAGTCAAGCAGAGCCTGGGAAGTGAGGCGCAGCCCACACTGCTGAGGTCATCATCTCCACGACGCAGCGAAGTTGGCTGCCCGGCTGTCTGTCAGAGGGGAAATGAGGGACATGAGACTCTGGTTGTTGTGACGAGATGGTATGGTACCATTTTAATATCCCTGACGGGTGCAAAAGGCATCTGGGGATTTGTCACCACAGACTAGAAGAGCAGGTAGCACAGGGCATTCCACTCTGTCTTAAATTGTTTCCGAACAATAGCTCATTCGCTCCTCCTTCCAATACACTGTGAGGGAGACACAGTGGGTCCATCTCCCAAGTCCTCTGCGAGCATCATACCTAACGGTGAAACCACGAAACATTCCCTGTAAGATCAGGAACCAGGCAAGAATATCTCTATCGCCCTCTATTCATCATTGTACTGGAGGTGCCCGCCAGTGTAGTTAGGCAAGTTAAAATTGTTAAAAGGTGTAAAAACAGGGCAGGGAGAAATACAATTGTCATTTATTCACAAATGACATGACTGTATATATAAGAATACAAGGAATCCATAAATAAATTATTACACTAAGAGGCTTTGGCAAGAAATCTGGATTCTCTATCAATACATAAAATTATCCACATTCTTATATCTCAGTCATGGAAAATGAACTAAAAAAATAACATTTACAGTAGCATCAAAAATAGAAAGTTTGAGGAATAAATCTTATAAATGATTGTAAGACTTCTACACAGGAATGTCTAAAACTTTTTTGAAAGATATTTAAAAAGATCAAAATAAATGGAAATACAATGTGTTCATTAATCGGAAGGCTCCATGTAGTAGAGATGTCATTTCTTGCCAAACATCCCAATAGTTTTTTTTTCTTTGTGGAACTTGACAAACTGATTCAAAAACTCCCAGAGAACAAGGAGGCAGGACTTGCCAACCAGCTAATTAAGATGTCTTACTAAGTTATGGGGACTCTAAAGATGTGGTATTGGTGCCAAGATAGACAAACTGACCAATGAACCAGAAGGAGGAGCCCAGAAACACCCATGGGCATTGATGCAGGACAGTGGTGATGCTGCAGGTCAGTGGGGGAAAAGATGGACTTTGCAATGAATGGTGCCAGGACAACTGGATCTCCATACGGAAGATGGAATTGGATCCCCACAGCATGACACGTGACACTTCCAGTGCTGATGTCAAGACCTGAATGTGAAAGGTGAGGCTGTGAAGCTGCTAGGGAGATCGTAGGAGAATATCTTCATGACTTCAGGGCAGGGTTTCTTCAACAAGAACTTTACGGATTAGTTAAAAATGTGACTACATTAAACGAAGCACTTATATTTATCAAAAGATATCATATAAAGACGGTGAAAACAGGAGAGGGTGTGGCCATGATGGCGGAGTAGGAAGACCCTGAGCTCACCTCCTCCCATGGACACACCAAAATTACAGCTATTAACAGAGAAACTATTTATGAGCAAAACCAGAAGACTAGAAGAAAAGAGCTTCTACAACTACCGATATAAGGAAGGAAACACAGTGAGGCCACAGAGTCATGGTATAGTCAAGACCCATACCCCTGGCAACCCACAAATGGGAGGATAATTACAATTGCAGAGGTTCTCCCCAAGAAGCAAGGGGTCTTTGCCCCACATTGGGCTCCCCAGCCTGGGGTTCCTGCGCTGGGAAGATGAGCCCCCAGAACATTTGGCTTTGAAGGCCAGCAGGGCTTACTCTCGGGAGTATCAGAGGGCTGTGAGAAATAGAAACTCCACTCCTAAAGGGTGCACACAAAATCTCACATGCTCTGGGCCCCAGGGTAGAAACAGTAATTTGAAAGGAGCCTGCGTCAGACCCACCTGCTGATCTTGGAAAGCCTCTTAGAGAAACAGAAGGCACCTGGGGCTTGCCCTGGGATCATAGACACTGGTGGCAACCATTCTGGGGGAGCTCGTTCTACCATGTGGACACTGGGGTTGGCAAACGCCGTTCTGGAATACTCCCTCTATCTTATTAATGCTGGAACCTGGCCTGCCCACCAGCCTGCCAGCACCAGTACTGGGATGCCTCAGGACAAGCAAGCAGCTGGGCAGAGACACAGTCCCTCTCCCCAGCAGGCCTGCTGCCTTAAGACACCCTGAGCCCACCACAGGGTCCAGGACTCATCCCCACATACCAGTGCACTGGCACGAGCTCTGGGACCAGCCTCACCATGAGTGGCTAGGCATCAGCCCCAGGACCCCCAGGGCCCTGGCCCTGACCACAAGCAGTCTGAAACATCAACTCCAGGACCCCCAGGGCCTTGAAGCCAGAGATCCTGAGACGTGGCTCCACCCACCAGTGGACCAGCACTAGCCCCAGGACCAGCCTTACCCACCAGTGGGCGAGCAAAAGCCCCAGGACCCCCTGGTTCCTGACCCACCCACCAGCCCCAGGACCACCACAGCTCTTCAGACAGCCACTCTGGGATCTAGGCCCACCCAACAGGCAGGCTGAAACCAGCTGCAAGACACCTTGGACCCCACAGAGAGGTGCCCCAGGATCCAGCCCCAACCACCAGTGGGCCAACAGCAGCTTTAGGACACGCCAGACCCTGCAGCCAGCTGTGTCAGGAATTAGCCCTTCCTACCAGCAGGCTGACACTAGATCCAGGACACCCAGCACTGCAACCACCCACCCCAGAACCTGGCTTTGCCTACCAGGGGGCCAGCACTAGCCCTGGGACCCCCTGGGGCCCTGTAGCCAGAAGCCTCATGACCTGGCCCCGCCCACCAGCAGCCAGTGGCCTCTGCACAAGGCAGAGCCTGGCAACCAACTGGACTGTGGGCCAGCCATGCCTACCAGACCACCCACAGCAGTCAGCCTGACCCAACAGGAGAAGCCACACTGCCCACATAGGGGGCACCCCTAGAGCATACAGCTCTGGTGACCAGAGGGGAGTGTGCTGCTGGGATGTGGAGGATGTCTCCGACAAAAGGCTACTTCTGCAAGGTCAGGAAACATAACCAACCTACCAAATACATAGAAATAAAAGCAGCAAATCAGGCAAAATAAGGCAACAGAGGAATATATCCCAAATGAAGGAACAAGATAAAACCCCAGAAGAACTAAGTAAGGTGGAGATAGGCAACCTACCCAATAGAGTTTGAAATGATGATCATAAAGAAGCTCAAAGAAATCAGCAGAAGAATGGATAAACACAGTGAGAAGTTTAACAGGGTTAGAAGATATAAAGAAGAGCAAAACAGAGCTGAAGAATACAATAATTAACACACATTAAAAGGAATAAAAAAAATAACATAAATAAAAAACACACTAAAAGGAATCAACATATTAGATGATGCAGAGGAACAGATCAGTGAGCTGGAAGACAGAGTAGTGGAAATCACTGAAACAGAACAGAAAAAAAGAATAAAAAGAAATGAGGACAGTTTAAGAGACCTCTGGGACAACATCAATGTAATAACATTCGCATTATAGGAATCCCATAAGGAGAAGAGACAGAGAAAGGGGCAGAGAACATATTTGAAGACATAATAGCTGAAAACTTCCCAAACCTGGGAAAGGAAACAGACATCCAGGAACAGGAATCACAGAGAGTACCAAACAGGATCAACGCAAAGAGGATCAAAGCAAAACACATTGTAATTAAAATGGCAACAATTAAAGATAAAGAAAGAATATTAAAAGCAGCAAGGAAAAAGCAACAAACTACATAAAAGGAATTCCCATAAGGCCATCAGCTAATTTTTCAGCAGAAACTCTGCAGGCTAGATAGAAGGGAGTGGCACAATGTTTAAAGTGATGAAAAGGGAAAATCTACAACCAAGAATACTCTATCCAGCAAGGCTTTCATTCAGACTTGACGGAGAGATAAAAAAAATTTTTACAGACAAGCAAACGTTAAGAGTTCAGCACCACCAAATGAGCTTTACAAGAAATGTTAAAGGGAATTCCCTAAGTGAAAAAGAAAAAGGCCACAGCTAGAGACATGAAAATTATGAAAGAAAAAAGCTCATTGGTAAAGGCAAATATACAGTAAAGGCAGTAAAGCTAGTAGGAAGGTTAAAAGACAAAAGTAGTAAAATCATCTATATCCACAAAAAGTAGTTAAGGGATACACAAAACAAAATGATGTAAAATAAGATGTCAAAAACAGCAAGTGTGTGTGTGTGGTAGAAATGCCAGGATTGTTAAAATACATTTGAACTTAATAGCCCAGCAACTTAAAATAATCACATGTATATACAGATTGCTATATAACCTTAACAATAACAACAGACAAAAGATCTATAATAGACACACAGAAAAAAAAAAAAAAAGGAATCCAAACGTAACACTAGAGATAGTCATCAAACCACAATGGCAGAGAGCAAAAGAAGAAGAAAGGAACAAAAAAGAACTATAAAAATGATCCCAAAACAATTAACAAAATGGCAATAAGTACATACCTATCAGTATTTATATTAAATGTGAATAGACTAAATGCTCCATCAAAAAACACAGAGTGGCTGAATGGATACATAAACAAGACCTATATATATGCTGTCTACAAGAGACTCACTTCACCTCTAAAGACACACACCCACTGAAAGTGAGGGGATGGAAAAAGATATTCCATGCAAAT